CAGTTTCTAAATACTGCCACAAAAAGCGGAATACCATGGAATACTGAATAACATTAGAAGTTTTGAATGATGTTTTGTCAGAGCTGGCTTCACTATCCACGCTGCTCCAGAAACAGGGCCTTACACCTCTTGAAGCATTTCACCTTGCCCGAGGTAAACTGAACAAGATCAGAAGACAGTACTTGGAGATTCAGTCTTTTGGAGTGACAAAGTTACGGCTCTCTTAGATATGACCTCTCAAGAAAATAATGGAATTGATACCAGTTCCATAATAACTTTCATAAACAACTTGTGTGCACATTTGGCAGACAGGGTTCCAGAGGATGAAGTCTAGGAGTGGTCCGCTTTTGATTGTGCAGCAATAGTTAAGTGTGACTTCAATTTTGGAATTCATCAGGTCAAATCCCTATATTCAAAATACAAAGACTTTCTTGCTGAAGAGATTGTTATAGTCAGTCAGTACAATGGCTTCAAGTTTGCAGTAGCCGAAAGAACCAAAAGCCAATTGGTTTTAAGTTTCCTGGATGTGGTAACATTTGCTCACCAGAATGAACAGTTTCAGGATCTTGCAAATCTGATGGATATTGGAGGAACATTCCTAGCATCAGGTGCAGACTGTGAGCGTGGCTGTAGCTTAATGAACACTCTAAAAAACAAACTACAGAATCGTTTAGAAGTAGATCATTTGGACATGCTGATGTGTATTAAGAGTTACCAGCTGGATGGAGGACTGATAGATCTGGACAGAGTTTATATTGAATGGGCAATTGAAAAAGATCACAGGGAAAAACAGTAAGGTTAGTTTAGCAATCTTTGACATTTCAACCAATAAGGAAATTAAAATGCATTTGTAATTACATATCTTATTCTTGGCTGATAATTATTTATTGATATTTTTTAGGAAAATTTAAAATTTAAAACACAAACTCGTTTTTCTTTTTTTACTTGTGATGTCTCTACCTGAAAACCCATATAAATTGACATAATGGCATACTTATTGTCTTTATTGTATGTTTATCAAAATCTTTTCGGACATGTGTATAGAATGAAAGGTGAAAGTGGACACCAATGGGCAGATGCCTATGGACTGATAATGATCATGATTAATATGTGCTTGGTATATGCTCGTGATTGTCTCTCAAAAAGATCATAAAGCGTAATGCTTAAAACTAACTTCTACTTCATTAAGAATGGTTAAATTTCCCTTTTCTAAGTATTTAAAAATGACATTTATAAAATAACATGGTGTAAAACTATTATCACAATTGCAAATTAAAACTTTTTAAATGTATAAGCATTTTAGTCACTTGGGCACATTTGTCTCATGGCGCACAAATTTGAACTCTGCTTCAAAAATTTGCACAGAAGAAATTTTTTGCGCACACAGCCTGTCAAAAATTAGTGGGAACATTGGTCTGAGTCACCTGGTACTGGATACCCCTCCTCCTCTTTTGGAATGCCAGTGGTTTTCCACCAAAAGACAGAGAGTTCCCTCCTTACACAAGAGCTATATAAGGCAGGGGAGTGACATCATCACGGTTCTCCTCTGCCTCCCCACCCAAAGAGACAATGAAAAACACCTGGAAGCAAAAACTGAACGGGGGGCGAGTAATAATACCTGTGGTCTCAAGAGGGAGACACTGCAGCTGCCTTTCAAGACTTTCTGTAATCTGCCTGCAACAATATCTAGCGTGAGAAATTACTATTTGTAACCAATTTCTTTAGTGAAACTAGCTTAGTTTACTAAGCAAATTAAGCCAAACACACAATCTGCTTTGTTCTGTTTGCTACCCCTTTTACCACTTAAAATCTGCCTTTTGTAGTTAATAAAATTTTGTTGTTTATAATATTACCCAGTTTCTGTAATTTCTAACTGGCGCGGGGGGTGAGAAGCTGTGCATACCTTCTTCCACATTGAGAGAGGAGGCGAATTTCATAAAACCTTTGGGTTTCTATCCCTTAAAAGGAGTTAGCACCAGAGTGTTGGAGCAAGTCCCTTAAGCTGAATCTTCCCAGAGTTGAACTGCAGTTGGATGTGGCCCTGCCTGTGTGCTTAGCTGGAAAAGGCTTGTGAGCCTAACCCAACAAGGCCAGGTAAAGGGGGCCTATGCTGGCAGAGCAGATAGACTCAGTGGTATCTCAGCACATCAGGCAGCTTCCTATGGGCAATGTATGTTTATCAAAATCTTTTCGGACATGTGTATAGAATGAAAGGTGAAAGTGGACACCAACGGGCAGATGCCTATGGACACAAGCGCCACTGGAAAATAAATAGGCAGATATTTTCCCTATATAGTAAAAATACTGGAATATATTATTTGTTTACTCATTTTTCTTCAAGGCATAGTTGAACTATGTTAATAAAAGATAAATGATGCAATACTGACTCTATATGGGTGTTAGGGAGATACAAACCAGACTTTAAAACAGTGCACAAAATTATTGTGTGTGTGTGTTTGTGACACTCTGTACCCCAAGGCAACACACTGGCACCCCCACATTTATCATGGTGACATAAGGCTAAGATTTAGTCATGTGTATTTTTAGTAAAAGTCATAGACAGGTCACGGGTAATAAACAAAAATTCACGGCCTGTGACCTGTCCATGACTTGTACTATATATCTCTGACTAAATCATGGGTGCTCTGGGAAACTCTGGGGGTGCAGCTGCTGCTCTGGAGGGGGGCCTCTGGGGTGCCCACTGGTGCTGGGGGCTCCGGGGCACCCGCAGGTACTGGTGGGGACCTCCAGGGCACCCGTTGGGGTGCCTGCTGGTGCTGGGGAGGGATTCCGGGGTGCCCGCTGGTGCTCGGGTTGAAGGGAGGCACGGGAACACCTCTCGAGCTGCTTGGGGGCCCTGGGGTCAGCTGCACCAGCCAGCTGCAAAAATCATGGAGGTCCCAGAAAATCACAGAATCCTTGACCTCCGTGACAGACTTGCAGGCTTAATTATGATGCATCTTGTACAAAGTATGTCATGTGAGGTGTCAATGGAAAAGTTATGGTTTGCTGCATATGATTATCCTATTTGTAACCATGTATCATTTTTGTATCTGAAGCTGTGAATATTGACTATGTACCTGAATTTCAAATGTGTTTGCTCCTGTGGTATCTCCCACAAAGTAGTTTATATCCAGTTTAGCCAGCACATTGTGAATGAACTACTGAAGCTGATTGCCCAGTAATTAACACCATGGACCATTGAAGAAGCTTATCCCCACCTGATGGACTGTCCTGTAGACGTTCTAGCCAGAATACGGGGAATGGCCCCTGTTATGACTCATCAAAGCATGCAAGGGCATGTGACCAGCTCACGTGGCACTGAATTCCATCTTGTGCCTGTATTTTTCCACTATCTGTGCTGGGGGCTTTGTTTGGGACAATGAAGTTCCCTCCACATGCCAGAAGCTATAAAAGGGGGAAGTGACATCATCACTTATCCTCACTCCCCCCACAACTCAACACCTGGAAACACCTCAGGAACAAAGACTTGGACTGGGGAGTTTTGTTTGGAGTGTAAAGGGAAATCTGCTCACAGACAGTGCTGGTGCATTGTCCTCTCCACATTGAAAGAGGGCTAGACTGGATAAATAATTTACGCTGGTCAGGCTTCTGACCAGGGAGAGATGGTACAGCTCTGATGTCCTAGGCTGGGAAGAGTTGGTTGGAGTCTCTCTATTGTTGGTTCATGAGTGGCTGGCAAAAGCATTCATGTAACACAGCTGGGTGTGTCCCTGCCTGTGAATATTTGTGTGAGTGCAGGACCTGAAGGGGTTTGCAGCTTGTCACATTATCACAGTGTGAGAGGGAGCTCAGGTTAGTAAGACAGAGGGCACAGAGGAACCCAAATTCCAGGTTGCACCCCAGGGAACCCGTCACAGTATTATATTGGTTTTAGTCATATCAGTTGAATAAATTTCCATTTTCTTCTGAGTGTCCACCCCTTCAACTCCCCATAAGCATTAACTAACAGAATCTGTTTCACCAGTACAAAGCTAGTTACTGTCACAAGCAGCCATTCTAAAATGGGTTCCTCAGCTTTTCCCCAATGCCTTTCGTTTGGGCCTTTTTGTTCTCCAACTAAAAGCCTGAATCCTTGCTCCTTCTTTTCAGTTTAGCAGCATCAACCTTTGACCACCAGAAATGAGCTACAAAATAGCTATAAATTTTATAGCTCACCTGGTCTAAAGTTATTTAGGGTATGTCTACACTGCAGTTAAAAACTTGTAGCTGGCCCGTGCCAGCTGACTTGAGTTTGCAGGGCTCGGGCTAAGGGGCATTGGTGTAGACGTTCAGGCTCCGGCTGGAGCCCGGACTCTAGGACCCTGCGAGGTGGGAGGGTCCCAGGGTCAGCTGGCACAGGCCAGTCGTTGGTGTCTCACTGCAGTGGAGACGTACCCTTAAAAACCTGAATCCAATGCCTAATTGAAAAAAACCACTCACTTAACAAACACATCAGATTTTTACTGCAGAGAATAATGTGGTATGTTTATCTGAAAATACTTTTACTATGAGACTTGCCTATGAGAACAGTAAAATACAGGACTACACAAAGAGTTCCAAACAGAAATCTCAGCAAATAAAGTGGAAAATCCTGAAATATAAGGGAAAGTATTTTCCTGCATGACACTAACTGACTTAATGAGCAGAAAGATGTTTACTTGCACAGTCTGCCACTGTGCTACCAATTTATTTTCCCATAAGTAAATGTTTTCACAAGCTGGCTATGTTTTATAATTAAATTGTATAAGTTAAAAACTTCAGCTAAATGCCTTATGGAGTCCACCAAATCCTTTTTGCTGAAAGCAAGTCCTCAATTATACAAGTAATTTCTAAATACTTCTCATTATTTGAAAAGCTGAAAATGTAATGACATTGTGGTAGATGAAAATTATAGCAGCCTGATAGTTCCCTCGTGGACCATGACTTAAAAGTTTAATATATTCAAGCTGGGGGGAAAAACCCTGAAGAGCTTTACAGTGAAGATAAAGTGTACTTACAGTGTTGGCAAGCTCTAAATAGCTTCCTCCAACTGAGTTGCTAAGATTGGAGGCCTGTGTTAGCAGTTTCTGCAGAGCAGCTTGTTGACTCATAGTGCTGCCACCATACTCCAAGAGCTTCTGTAGGGTAGAATGACTCTGCAGGTCAGGACTCTGAAGGTCTCTTGCACCAGAATCATATTCCCAGCTTTCTCTAGCACCTGATAAGGCACCTAAAATGTAGAAACAGAAAAGAGATCCAACTGTAATCCCACAGCAAACTTACAAGGGCTAACATGCCCCCTGCCCCCTAAAAATACCTAGTGTAGCAAAAATCAAAGAATGTTTATGGGACACAGTATTGATTTTCAAGACACAGGAGTCAAAGACAAAAGTGGTTTTTATACAATATTTAGAAATATCACCTACATCTGTAAATAACAGGGGAAAATACTATTTATTAGTATGATGGCAGAAATAAATCCAAGTGCACATCATCATAAAAACAGAGAGGGAGAGAGAGACTATCCAGTGATAAATTTATCACACACCTGTGCAATTTATCATAAATCTATGACAGTATTCCCTCCCCTATCCATCTCCTAGAATTTATTTTAACATTCCAACCCGCTGAGGCTTTTTAAAAACCAACATAAGAATCACCATATTGGATCAGACAGGTGTCCCAAGTTGCCTAGCATCCTGTCTTCAACCAGTGCCCAGCACCAGCTGCTTCAGAGGAAAGTGCAAGAACCCTTGCATTATCCTATTTCTGCCTAATCTGCCATCCACGTTAGGTGTCCTCCTAATCTCTTATAGTTAGAGACTAGCTTAAACCCCAAAACTTGAGTTTAATATCTCGTCCAAAATTTGTTAGCATTAATTATTATAACTCTGGGTATTCTTGTCATTCAGCTAAATGTCCAAACCCCTTTGAATCTTGCTATGTTTTTAGTCTCAACAACTTCCTGTGGCATAAATTCCACAGTTTAATTATGTGTTTGAAAAAGTATTTCCTTTTACTGGGTTTGAATTCTCCACCTTTTAATTGAACTGAATGTCCCCTTGTTCTTGTGTAGGGACCAAATGGAAATTCCTGATCTCTCTTCTGTAATATAGGCAGAATTGGTGGCAACACATATAGTTAAAGTTGCCTAACAACTTCCATTATAAAACCCTGTTTTCAGTGGCTTATAACTTTGCCAGAAGGTGGGAATGAGCAACAGGGGAGGGAACACTTGATGATTACCTGTTCTGTTCATTCCCTCTGAAGCACCTGGCATTAGCCAAGGTCAGAAGACAGGATACTGGGCGAGATGGACTTTTGGTCTGACTCAATATGGTTGTTCTTAAACTTTTCCACAATGAGTATCTGCCTCAGACTGAATATTTTTTGTAAATTACAGATGAAACAGTTTAGCTATTTTTGATTACAGAAAAATACACTGTTTTGCCAATGTTAAAAAAATTAAAACAGTTTCATTTAGAAGCTCTAGAGCCTCCATGTTTTGAGCAGCAACTTGAAATTTATTACCATGGTGTCCCTGCTCAAACCTGGCCAAGTTATGAACTTCTGTAAAATCTCAGTTCATACACATTCAGTAGAGGTTTGTTAGAATTTGGCAGCTAAATTCCCCAAAGATTCCATACCCACTACACTGCAGTACATCTGCATTGAGCATGCTCCAACCCCAAACAGCTCCCAACTTGACAACCAAACTGCAAATATTCTATTCCCACAGTGTGACTGAGCATGCTCCAGCCCAGGACTCCAGGGCCTTAACAGGTATTTTCCTCCTGTTTGGGGCTACTGTTGCACCAGAAGAGAGCAGGGAAACAGTCTCTCCTGTGCTCTCATTGCTCCCCCTGGTTACTTATCCAGTCCTCAGTTTGAATACCATACAGCAAATAAGATCTGGGACCACACAATGAATGACAAAAATAAAAACTACAAGTGAATAACTGCCCATTCTGTGAGCACCGTCCTTTCTGTGCACTGAATGTGGCAGGGGAGTTATGGGGAAAACGGTAGAGCAGAATCTCAGGCAATGAAGTCAATGAAGCCATGACAATTTACACCAGCTGAGGATCTGCACCCAGAATGTGATCAGGTAATTAAAGATGCACGAGGAAACTAAATTCAAGTTGCACAGGCAACCTCATTGTTTGCATTTCCTAGCTTCTGAGTGCCTGACTTTGCAACCTTAATAATGTACTTTTAACCATTTTAATGTAATCTAATGTACTTTCATAGTGTTCCCATGTATTCATCTTCTTACCAAGGTAAACAGCTGTAATCTTTTCAAGCTCTCTTCATATGATAGTTTTTCTGTGCCTCAAATCATTTTAGTCACCTTTCGGTAACCCCCCTCTAGTTCTGTAACATCCTTTTCAAGATGGGGTGACCAGTACTGTGCAGAGCATTCGATATTTGGCTGCTCCACTGATGTATTTAATGGCATTATAATGATTGCTGTATTATTCTCCAACCCATTTCACGTGTAATCTAGCTTCTTGTTTGCTTTCTGCCCATAGCTACATCTTGAGTCGAAGTCTTCTTGAGGTATCCACAATGATTCCCAAGTCTTTTCCCTTAAATGATCCAGTTAATTTAGAACACTCACATACAGGAAGATGTGTAAAATGTCTTATCGATCTATAGTTGATCAAGTATGAAAGCAGTGGGTCAGGCCTGAACATGAATCAGGGTGGAGTAATGATACTAAAACCTATAATGTGTATAGTACACATTTTATTAAAATTAAAGCTGCAGCTGCTCCATTTCATAAAAATTAAGTATAGCCATCTGGCTCCTAGCAAGCTGCCAATGTAGACCCTCAGTTAGGCAAAGTGTAGGTACTGCTACTGTAGATGAAACAGTTCATTGGTATGGATACGGTCTTTGACCTCTTACTGCTTTTCAAACACAAACCAGAAATAATTTTATGAGTGCTAGAACAAATTACTTTGCATCAGACACAAATTTTCATTCAAATAAGATAGCCAGATGGATGTGTATAGAACATCACAGGTTTTGGATAATACATTTTCACTAGATCATTTTGCTCTTTTTGTAGAAGCATTCCATCCTACACTTAAATTTTGACTAGAATTCCATAATCAGCTAAAACCATGGTCTCTCTCTAATTAAATCACTGTCTAAAAACCACTAGCATTGTTACCATAACAATTTTGCAGCTAAATGATGCTGATAGACTAGAAGACTCTCCAGTGAACACAGATTGAAAAGTAATTCATCTGAGAAAGTGAGTTGATTACATTAATGTAGGAATAAACTGGCATAAAGTCAGGAAGCAACAGAGAGTCGTAGTCTTATTCTACAGTTCAGAGTTTTTTGCTTATGTATTAAATCAAATGTTACCGGGTAAAGCTACCACTCTTAAAAAGGGCCATATCTCCATCCACAGGTGCTCAGCACTTGCCGAGTGCATACATAGAAACTGATTCCAATGGGAGTATCAGGCAATCCCAGGCACTTCCCAGGATTAAATCCATACCCATTAAAGCTATTTATTGGGAAGATCTCAATGAACTACTTTAAATAAGACATCCAATAATTGTCACTGTTTTACCATATGTGCCCACTGAATTCTCCCATACCCTAATCCATGAATAGTTCCAATTAGCAGAAAGGTACTAGTTTGCCCAAGTTCAGCTCTCCTGGAAATACTGAAAACTGGCCCATTAGCATCAAGTTATTTCCTAGCTACCTGCTAAGAATCAACCTAAATTTAAACCATTTCCCCATAAGAACAGAAATAAGTTATAATTGTCACTTGATACATCCCAGAGGGAAAGCTTCTGGGGAAATCCAGGAAGCAAATGGATCTTCCTGCAATATCTTCAAGACTGACTGCTGCAAAAGCCTCAGATGCTGCCACAGTAAGGACACAAGCCTTCCAGTGGCGCCTGATGGACGTATTTTATAAAATGAGACCTACCAATCTATGCCAGTCATAAGCAACAGCCTTTCATTCACGCCTTTAAAAACGGCTATTCATCTTCCTTTGCACTTATAATCCCTAGATTCCCCAAACACATCATAATGGTGGGTATCATTATCCCATTTTACATCTGAGGTAACGAAAACATAAAGCAATTAAGTGATTTGCCCAAGCACACACAGTAAGAGAGCGGCAAAGTAGACACCAGAATCTAGATCTGCTTGTCTCTTGGACACTATTTTCAATCCACTAGGCCACAACGGCCCATAAGCAATTATAAGTAATACTATCAGGTTAACTCAAAGGCTTTCTAGTGGACTGTGTTCCTCTAAAATATCCATTAACATTCAAAGAGGACATTTATTAATCAATGATCATTAACTACTCAATAAAATGACAGTCAGTCATAATAAATGAAATAATGATCAGCTAGGAAAAAAACAAGGAGCTTATTAATGAGGTAATACAAAATGGGTAAAACATCAGTGTGACAGCGACATAATCAAGTATAATAAAAGCTTTATATTGGTGTTTGCAGGGAGCAGAAATGCATGGAGAGTTGATTCAAAAATATACATATATATTTTCCCCTCAACTCGCTAGAAGGGGATATACCATAAAGCTAATATATAATAATCTCATCTTAAAAGGAAATAGAACTAAATGAAACAAGCAGGGGGTTGGACTAGATGACCTTCTGGGGTCCCTTCCAACCCTTATATTCTATGATTCTAAGAAATCACAAGAGAGGCATGAGGTCTGGTCTATACTACAGAACAGGTACTGGTGTAATCAAAAGGATTAGATACTGTTTTAATCTAATACAGTTTAAGAATGCTTTAAACTGATTTAACTGCATATATATTAGCAGTTTGTACCACTGTAATCACTTTAATAATATAAGTGTAAGTTGTCCAAAATAGACAAGCCCTTAAATGTTTCTGTCAGAATAAGTCCAAAATATATCTCCAAGTAATATGAAGTGTGCACACAGTAGTAGATGTGGGTACCACTGCCCTCAAGTGGCTGGACTACAGAATATAAAACCCCTAACTGCCAAAGAAGGTTTTCCTATAGCTGAGTAGTAGAGGCCTTCTCTTGTAAGCCAAAGGCTGTGCTCTATCCAGCTCCCAGGATCCACGTATACTAAATATATGAGATGACTATTATGTGGGCATGTGCATGACCATTGAGTTAATAGAGTCGACTGTATATTATTCATTCTTGCTTGTATGGAGCTAAAATGGCTTATCCTCTGTAGTGTATCT